GTTTAGATAGTCTATGTTTTTTTAAAAATTATTTAGCATTTTCATGATTAGAAATTTTTACCCTTAACCTTTTCTATTTCAGTGCCATTGTTTATAGTTTGTTGAAGTGTAATGTGTAGATATGTTTGTCAGTCTGGATACTCAAAAGTCAGCTGTACTTTTAAGACAAATCTGAATTTGGAGATCTATTAACTTTTTTCTTTCTTTGTTTTAGCTGCCCTTAAGATTCAATGATGCTTTGGTACTAAGACAGCTTCGGTACACTGGGATGCTGGAGACAGTTCGAATTCGTCAATCAGGATATAGCTCCAAGTATTCTTTCCAGGTTATATACTTTATATTTATAAATATACACATGCATATTCATATCAAGTGAATTTGTAGCACAAATTCCAATTGTTCTTTTTTTTAACAAGATTTTTTTTTAAAAAAATTTTATTTTATATGCATTGGCATTTTGCCATGGGGGTCAGGCCCCTAGAACTAGAGTTACAGACAGTTATGAGCTGCCTTGTGGGTGCTGGAATTGAACCTGGGTCCTCTGGAAGAGCAGTCAGTGCTATTAACCACTGAGCCGTCTCTCCAACCCCCAACTGTTCTTAATAAAAAATCCAGAGTCAGATATTAGTGGGTGAAAGCTGAGAGATCAGAAAAGCAGTGCAGCCAGCCACTAGAGAGACCTTTTACCTCTACCAAATCCTCAAACCAAAAGAGCAATCTTGACCTCAGACTGCCTCCTTAGTCTGCATCCTCAGATCCTATCTGTTACCACAAACCTCAGACTGCACTGAGCTCTTGTCTCCTCCCACTTTATAGTTCTCTCTCCACCCAACCATATCCCTTCCTGTCTCCAACCCCTTTCATGCTGGGTTTAAAGGCATGTGTCTCCCATGTACTGGGATCAAAAGTGTAAGCCAACATCACCTGGCTCTTTGAGATTGGATCAATCTAGTATAGCCCAGAGTGGTCTTGAACTCACAGAGATCCATCTGCCTCTGTCTCCCAAGTTCTGGGATTAAAAGTGGGTACCACCACTCCTTGGTCTCTAGTGGCTTAGCTCTATACTCTGATCTTCAGGCAAGCTTTATTTGCAAAACCACAAACTATTAATTAAACAAACATAAATTATTTCTACATATTTTACTTATTATATACCTGTGTAACAGCCTTGGCTGTTCTGAAACTTTTTTTGTAGACCACGCTCTCTCAGAGATTCACCTGCTTCTGCCATATGAGTGCTGGGATTAAAGGTGTGAGCCACCATGCCTGACTCATTTTTTTAATTTTACCATTTTTAAACAAAGTTGAAAAAGTGTTAAGAGAATACTCATTTTTTGGAAGTGCAGCAGTCTTCTTGAGTATATGCTGCGATACAGTATTTGACTATTCCTATTTGTCTATTCTCATTTGATAAAAATGTTTGCTAAACCAGGTGATACACTTGGGAGGCAGAGGCAAGTGGATGTCTGTGAGTTCAAGGCCAGCCTGGTCTATAAGAGCTAGTTCCAGGACAGGCTATAAAACTACAGGAAACCCTGTCTAAAAAAGAAAAAAAAATGTTTGCTGATTCTGAGTTTGACTATAATTTAGCAATTTTCACACTGATTTATTTTCCGTAATTGAAATAATTCAATAAGAATGATCTTATCAAATGAATAGGTTCCATTTGGTTTTTCCTTAAATTTTCTTAGAAATACTTCTTATGTAGAAAGCTTCTAGAATGTTACTCAGCAATCATTATCAGATATACTGCTATGTGTGTAAAAATTTTATTGGAACCTTTCAGGAACTAAGCAGTTTTTGTTGTATGGGAAAGAGAAAACTTGATTCTCATTTGTATGTTCCCAAAGCTGCTTTATTTCCTTTCCCTACTTGCTGTATTTCAGGTTCTTGGTAAATGACTTTTATTTGGTCTTTGGTATGGTTTTCTCAAAAAGAATAATTAACTCCTACCCTTCTTTTTTTATTTATTTTTCTTTTTTAAATTTAGTTTTTATTTGATAACATGTTTCAGACTCAGTATCTTTCCTCTTACTGTGTTTTGAATCTATATTTTTAAGAGATACTTTTATTTTTATTTTATGTTTATGATTGTTTTGCCTGCATGTATATCTGTGTGCCATGTGAGTACAGTGTCTTTGGAGGCCTAAAGCAGGTATTGTATTCCCGTGAATGAGTTACAGATGGCTGTTAGCAGGCATGTGGACACTTGGAATTCAGTGCTGAGCCATGTCTTCTGCACCTCTATTTATAATAAAGTAACAAATAATTTCTTTTGTTTCATCCTACTTTTTTATTAATAAGTTTTTTCTTTGACAGTTTCATACATGTATATAATAAATTCTCGTTACTCTCATACCCATTCTCATTATTTTCTCACCCCCGCCAGTTTGCTACCTTCCATTTTTAAAAGAATGGGAAAGGCCAAGCGGTGGTGGCGCATGCCTTTAATCCCAGCACTCAGGAGGCAGAGGCAGGCAGATCTCTGTGAATTCGAGGCCAGCCTGGTCTACAAGAACTAGTTCCAGGACAGGCTCCAAAGCTACAGAGAAACCCTGTTTTGAAAAACCATGCCCTAGAGTACCTTCACTCATGTAGCCCCTGCCCTCTTCCAGTGTATTCTGATCTTTTCCACTGCCTTGCTTTAAAGATTTTTTTTTATTTATTAAAAGACTGAGAAACCCCTTATTGTTAGTTTAGGGTATAAAATTCATCTAGTTCTTTTGTGATTTGATATCATTTTCTTTTTACTTTTTAGGATTTTGTGAGCCACTTTCATGTACTTCTTCCCCGAAATATTATCCCTTCTAAATTTAACATTCAAGATTTCTTCAGAAAAATAAATATTAATCCTGATAATTACCAAGTTGGAAAAACAATGGTAAGTATATAGAGCCTTAGTCAAAATTGAGTGCATTTTATATTTTCATAATACCTTCTTTGTCATAAGTTTTATGAAAAGATAGTATTATCAAATATTATAAGCAAATTGATTAAGCTAGGTGGCTTTAAATTTATGCTTTTATTTATTTGTGTGTATATGTATGTGTATGGGCACAGATGTGCCATGGCATGAGTGTGGATGGAGGTCAGAGGAAAACTTGTGATCTTGATTCTCTCCCTTTACCATGTGGATCCCAATGATGAGTCTTAAATTGTCAGGCTTAGTAGTAAGTACCTTTACCCACTATGCTGTCTTGTTGGCCCCAAAATTTTATTTATTATTGTTGTTATTGTATTTGTATATGAGCAATGTATGAATGCTAACACACCCATGCAACCATGCAAGACAATTTTCAAGAGTTTGTCCTCCTTTTGTCTTAGGTTTGTCAGACAAAACTCAGGTTCTTATGCTTACATACCAAGCACTTTTACCCAGCAAACACTCTTCACCCTCTTAACTGACCACAGGGCTTTTCTTGGTTAATGACTTGGTAGTAAAGGTGCTTTCCATCATGTCTGATGACCTGAGTTTAATCTCAGAATCCATGGGGTAGGTAGAAGAGAACTGACTTTTACAATTGTTACCTGACTTACCCACCCCCACAACCTAAAATAAAATGTTGTAATCAGTACTAATCATAGAATTCCTGGTCGATGTTCTATTTCTAATTACAACTTCAGCTGTAATTCAAACCATCTCTGAATAAGATATTCTACTTAATGACAAATTTAGCTTGTCTACAGTAACATTATCCAGATTCTTCTACTGCCCTTTTCAGCTATTTGTTACCTTTTATTTATATTCCTTCTTTTTGTTCCTCCTAGGAACTTTTTGTAGGCTAACTTGGTCTACAGAGCGAGTTCCAGGACAGTCAAGACTACACAGAGAAATCCTGTCTCAAAAAACAGAAAAAAAAAAAAAGATGATTTTGTATCTCAGCCCATTTCTCCATTCCTGATTCCATTTTGTTTCTGATTCATAGCTCTTTTCCTCTGTATCATTTAAGTATGTCACTTTCTTTTTATTGACTTCATGTCAGTTATTTTCCCAATAGACTCCTCATTAAGTTTATATTATCTTCCTCGGGCACACTGACTGATTCTCCATATTGTCTTGGAAATAGTACTACATGCGTATAGTCCCAGCACTAGAAAGCAGTGCCAGAAGACTCACTTAGTCAAGACTGTTTTCAGCTATATAGAAATTTAAGGCCAGCCTCAGCTACATGAGCATCTGTCACAAAACGCAAGACAAACAAAATCCACTTCCATATTGTAGCTTCATAATATTTAGCAGTACTTTTTGAAGACTAATTCAGTTATTCAGTTGTCTCATGTGCTTTAGTTTTACTAACTAGTTAGAAACTTTTAGTTTTTCCAATCCTTTTATTGCTCAGGTAAGATCTTCTGTCTCCATCCCATAGTAGTTTAATCTTTAACTCTTGATATTTCTGTTCACTCCTAAAGATGAACCATAAGTTCTATTTCAAAGAGATATGTCTATTTTATACTTACTTTTGACTCTGGGAATGAAGAAGCTTTTAGTCTTTAGATGTCAAATAGATGAGTGCTATTGGTTCCTTCAGGTTGTACTCACTTTTTAAGATCGGCGGTTATCAGTTTTTCCCCATTCCAATTTTTTAAAAAATTGTGACATATTGACTAATGGTATACTGATCTTTTACAGCAACGACTTTTCCAGATGAGAAGCAGTAATGTAGCAGAATGTTTGACAATAGAAATTTGGTACATTTTCTAATTTTCTCCATCTCCTCTCTCATGTACTCACATATTTTTTCAGGTGATAGAACTATTTTTGGTTTTCTGAAACATGGTTTCTCTGTGTAGTCCTGGCCATCCTGGAACTAGTGCTTGTCAGCCAGGCTGGCCTTGAACTCACAGAGATCTGCTTGTCTCTGCCTTTCTAGTACTATGATTAAAGGCCTGCACCACCACCGCACAGTGTGATAGAACTATTTATCAGTACTTTATTTGTTATCAGTACTTTATTTGCATGTCTGCCATTATATGTGTCCTTTTCTGAAAGAGAAGCTTACCCCAGAAACAATAATTCATGAATAGTTTTCATTTCTTCTTAAGCTTTATCCCTTGTTTTTCTTCCGTCTCATAGGTTTTCCTAAAGGAGCATGAACGACAGCACTTACAAGATCTGCTTCATCAGGAAGTGCTTCGCAGAATCGTACTATTGCAGCGGTGGTTTAGGGTCTTGCTCTCTAGGCAACAGTTCCTCCATTTGAGACAGGCATCTGTTATTATCCAGGTGGGATGAGACTAGGATTCTTTGTTTAAGAGTGAGTTTGGACTTCATTTAGTAACCAGAACCATTTTACTGTGAAACATTGAAATAATAATGAAACTTCAGAGACAAGAATGAATTATAATCATTTCTTAAATGTGTGTGACACCCAGTAGATTACCTTGAATGTAATAGCAGGTAACACCTTGGGATTTAAAGGCCAGCCTGCCAGCTTGTCTACGTAGAATTCCAGGACAGTCAGAGCTACAATAGAGAGACCCTGTGAAAAATAAATAAATGAATGAATGAATGGATAAATGAATGAATGAGAAAATAGAACTGATTAATTAATCGGTGGAACCTGAAAACATCTAAAAAATTTAAATTGTATAATTAATCTCAGCTAAGTTATATTATTTAAAATAGCTGTGGTGGGGCTGTTTTCAAAACAGGGTTTCTCTATGTAGTTTTAGAGCCAGTTCTGGAACTTGCTCTGTAGATCAGGCTGACCTCAAATTTAAAATAGCTGTTTTTGATAAGCAAAAAAAAAAAAAATGTTTTTATTTATTTTCTAAAAAAACAAGTTTTTACTTATTAGTAAAAACTTCACTTATTTTACTTATTACATTTGCAGTATTCTTGGATAATAGCCTTACCTGAAGTTTTTTACTTTATCATCAAACGCTACTATATGAGAATTTTTTACCCTTGATGAATTTTCTCAGAGGCCATTCCACTCTTCTAGTTTCTTGTTGTCATAAACTTTAATAGCGTTGATTTAGTGCTTAGCATAAAGGGCCTCCATCAACTTGGCATATATAGGCTCATAGTTGGGTGAAAGTCCACAGAGATGGGCATGACACTTGCTTAAGGCTTTGGCAACTTTGTGAATCCCACCTGTTAAGTCATTGTGGACTTAGAAGAGGTGAGCTTCAACACCTCTTGTAAAGCAGTATCAATTTTCATTACACCAGAGCATCAACACAACTCTGGTAGCATAGAAAGAGTTAACATTATTATAACATTATTATTATTATTAACCACCAACAAGTTAGTTGCTTATATGCTTAAAGTGCTAATGACATAGAAATTTAGCCTTTTTTACCTATTCTATGAAATAAGTGATAACTTGACAGACATTTTCTCATTTCCCTTAGCGTTTCTGGAGGAATTACCTAAATCAGAAGCACGTCAGAAATGCGACTGTGAAGAAAGATGCTTTGATTATGGCTAGTGCAGCATCCCTTCTCCAAGCTTCCTGGCGTGCTCACTTAGAGAGACAACGATACTTGGAGTTACGAGCTGCGGCTGTCATTATCCAGCAGCGATGGAGGGAACTGTGTAGATGCCGACACAGGGCTGCTACCTGTATACAGGCAAAATGGAGGAGCTACAGGCAAAGTAAGAAGTACAAAGAACAAAGGAACAAAATTATCCTTTTACAATCAACATATAGAGGATTCAGAGCAAGACAAAGGTAATCTATGTTAATGAAGCAGTTGGTTCTCCTGTTTTTATAGGTCCTTTATTTAAACCTTTGCTTTAATACTTTCTTTATTACCTATGTTTTGTTTTTTTTTAATCACTAGACTGTGATAAATTTCTACCAGTTCTTACCTGCAATGTCTGGGCTATAGCAGAAGTTAAATAAATGTTCATTGAATTAAATAAAGTTGGAAACTTCCATGACCTGTGGTTATAACTGCTAAGAAAAAAAAAACTTGTACATATGGTTTAATCTTATAAATTTAGAAATATTCAACTCCTTTTGTTTTTAACCTTGGGAACATTGATCTCTATTGTACTATATTAAAGTCACACTATTGATGTATCTTTAGTTCAGTTAACATTTTGTTGAGGCTATCCAGATAGGAATTACTCGTATAAATAAGAGGAGAATTCAACCTAGTATAATCAAGTTAGTTTTTGTAGGTGAATACAGTGGTACATCTAGTCCTAGATAAATAGGGGACTGCAGCAGGAAGATTAATTACATTGAGTCTGCAGTTTAAGGTCAACTTTGAACATAATTAAGGATAGCAAGGTTCCATCTGTTAAAAAATTATAGTAGATTAAATTCTCTAATCCACTTTGTCTATTTTTGTATAGATATAAAGCTTTAAAAGAGCAAAGACTGAAAGAAACAAAACTAGAGCATGGATTCGTGAATATCAAGGCATGTGGAACTCTAGAAATTCATGGTTCAGACCCTTCTGAATGGGAGGATCGTTCTTTTGACAACAGAGTGAAAGCTATAGAGGAATGTAAATCTGTGATAGAGAGTAATCGAATTAGCCGTGAAAGTTCCATGGATTTCTCAAAGGAGTCTCCAGACAAGCAGCAGGAGAGAGGCAGAAGCCAAAGTGGTATGGACTTGCAGGAAGAAGTGATTGTAAGACAGAGACCCAAGTCCTTGGAGGATCTCCATCAGAAAAAAGTAGGTCGAGCCAAAAGGGAAAGTCGGAGAATGAGAGAATTAGAGCAAGCTATATTTAGCTTAGAATTGCTGAAAGTTCGCTCTCTTGGTGGTGTGTCTCCTTCAGAGGAACGTAGATGGTCTTCAGAACTGGTGCCTGAAGGCCTGCAGTCTCCACAGGGTACACCTGATAGTGAGAGTTCACAAGGAAGCTTAGAACTTCTGACTTGTGAGGAGAGCCAACAGAGCAAACCAGAGTCCCTCATTTTAGATGAGGGAGAATTGAAGATTTCATCACCCAATGTATCTACTGATCCAAAATTCCATTCACAAGACAATGTCCTCAGTGCCTCAAGGGAGACTAGCTCTGCATTGTCTAGAAAAGGAGCATCTTGTGACTCAGAGCATTTGAAGAATGGCACTAAGGAAAAGCTGGTCTGTTGTTCTGAACCTATCACCTGTAAACCCCAGCTGAGAGACTCTTTTGTTTCAAGTAGTCTACCTACATTTTTTTATATTCCCCATCAAGAACCTCTAAAAACAAGTTCCCAACCAGACACAAGTATCCAAAGAAACAAACTGCTGGAAAGAGAAGCCGCTTTAGATATCAACAAGGAGGCCAAGAAGTGTCAGTTCTCAGGAGACCAAGTGATTGCTTTGAATACAGATGCTTCGTGTACTGTGCTTAAGAAGTTGGAAAAGCTGAATACTGAAAAGGAGAAAAGGCAAAAGCAGTTACAGCAGCAGAATGAAAAAGAAATGATGGAACAGATTCGTCAACAGACAGATATTTTAGAGAAGGAACGTAAAGCCTTCAAGACAGTTGAACAGGCACGCACTGAGGAATCTCTCTTGGTACCATCCTTTTATCAGCCAAGACAAAGAGTAGAGAGGCCATCTTCTCTGCATATCCAAAGTACCCCAAGTGAGGGAGAAGCTGGTGTACTAGGTTCCCCATCAGCAGTCACTAAAAGAGATACAGCTCTTGCCACAAAAGATAGTTCCTCCATTCATTTACCTCCAAAAGACCGACCTGTCACCCTCTTCTTCGAAAGAAAAGGAAGCCCATGCCAATCTAAGACTGCTAAGGAATTATCCAAGACAGAAATAGGCACCCAGCATGTTGCCTGTAAACTCACTAATAATCGCATTACAGAAAGAGAACACTTTAGGTCAACTCACTCTTATGGCCACAGACCTGATGACCCTTCCAGAGGGGGAAATTCAAGAGCCATTTTCTTCACACCAAAAGACAATATGATTATTCCACTGTAAGTAAAATTTATATTTTATATATTAAATAGGAAGTTTCCTAGGGTAGTTTGTTGAAGCACTTTTTTTGTGTGTTCCACTCTTGTCTATATGCATGCTACACTATCTAATCTGTAATTTTTCTCTGTGTAAAGTATGAGTAGTTATAGCCTAGGCATCTTTGAGTGTAGATAGCACGTTTCTTTTTTCTCTTCCTCATTAATTGAAAAGCATTTGTAAAGGACAGTATGGTGCTTGTCAATGTTTCAGGCATTCAGCATGTGCTGGTCGACGTAGAGCTATGAAGTGGAGTGATTCAATCTGGTTATTTTCAAGACTTTTCAGAACTTACCATGTTTTGTCACAGCCATTGGCCCTATATATATCTTTTATCATAAAATTTAAGTGTGTGATATAGTAATATTAGTTGTATAAAAGTTATCAACAGGTCTTTTTCATCTTTAGTACTGAAACTCACTCACTAAGCAGCTTTTTCTCCAGTTGCTGCTTTATAGGGTTTGTGCTGGGATTAAAAGCATGTGCCACCACTATCCAATTGTTAGAGGTTTTTTGTTTTGTTTTGTTTTTCTGTATTTTTGAAACAGTATCTTACCCTGTAGCCCACACTGGCCTGGAACTCACTATATGGACCAGGCTGATCATAAACTCATAGAAATCTGCCTGCCACCTGAAACTGCTAAAGCCATGTGCCACTATGCCCAAATCTATCTTATGTTTCTGAAGGTCAAACTGCTTTAGGCATCTATTTTAAGTGGGAATTGTTTTTTATTTTATAATTTAGGTGTTTCCTTTAAGTGAGGATAACCACAAGGAAAGAATTTTAACTCATGGCAAACATGAAAAGCTGTTTTCTGACTTAGGGTGTTTGTTATTTTTTTGGTGTTATTTTTGTTTTGTTTAATTCTGATGCTTGGAATCATACATCTTTATTAAGCTTCAGACTTAACACAGCTGGTACTCACTGAGTCATCTCCCCAGTCCAAGATAACTTCTTTTTAGTTTTTCAAGACAGGGTTTCTCTGTAGCTTTGGAGCCTGTCCTGGAATTAGCTCTTGTAGACCAGGCTGGCCTCGAACTCACAGAGATCTGCCTGCCTCTGCCTCCCGAGTGCTGGGATTAAAGGCGTGCGCCACCACTGCCCAGCTCCAAGATAACTTCTTATAACCCCTTATGAAAGTAAAATATTTCTTTTTTTAAAATATTTTAAATATTTGTTTATTTATTTATTTACTTATTATGTATACTGTGTTCTGCCTGTATGTCTGCCTGCAGGCCAGAACAGGACACCAGATCTCATTACAGATGGGTGTGAGCCACCATGTGGTTGCTGGGAATTGAACTCAGGACCTCCGGTAGAGCAGTCAGTGCTCTTAACCTCTGAGTCATCTCTTCAGCCCGAAAGTAAAATATTTCTAATGGAAAAGTGTCTAACTTATCAGCTAGTTTTATAAGTTATTGTCTGTTTTGAAGTAGTCTGATGCTAGTAGTTAAGTAATGATTCCCAAGGATTTTATAGTCTAAGGATGAATTTTAAAACCCATAATACTAATTAATCAATTAGTGCCACGAAAATCTAGATACTGTTCAAATTTTCTTCAGATTCTGACACTCTGTTTTTACATAGAATTTTAAACATGGCTCACAACCATCTAGAATGGTGCCCTCTTCTGGAGTGTAGCATATATAATAAATAAATAAATCTTTAGAAAAAAAGGATAGTAGATGAAAATTTAGAAGAGTTTAAGAAGTGATTTTTTTTCCTGACCAATGGGAACCATCCCAAAGTAAAGCAAGATCCTTATTACTATCATATAAAATGATTATATGAAAAGCCTGTTTAAAACAAGTATCCTAAGGATGTGAGAGATTTGGAATTTTTATTTTTTCATTAAATTCACTTTGGTTCTTTTTGTTTGTTTTGTTTTTCGGGACAGGATCTCTTTATGTAACAGCTCTGGCTATCCTAGAACTCACTTCATTGATCAGGTTCTCCTTGAGTTCATAGAGATCCACGTGCCTCTGCCTCAGGAGAGCTGGGATTAAAGGCATGTACCACCACTGCCTGGTTTGCCTTGGTTCTTAACTAGTTTTGTTGCTGTCTTTCTTAAACATAGCCTACCATAGTGTAATGTACCCAATGATTATCACCACAGTGACTAGGAACTCACCATGCACATAGATTCTTTTTTTTTAATAATTTATTTTATTTTGTGCACTGGTGTTTCCTGCATATATGTCTATGTGAGGGTGTTGGATCCTGGAATTATAGACAATTGTGAGCTGCTGTATGGGTGCTGGGAATTGAACCCAGGTCCCCTGGAAGAGAAGTCAGTGCTCTTAATTGCTGAACCATCCCTTCAGCCCCCCCCCATGTAGATTCTTGAATATAGTATAGTATTGATTATGTAAGAACAAGAAATCTAGGAACTTGAGAGGTAGTTCAGTGGATAAGAACATTTGTTGCACAAGCGTGAAGACATGAGTTTGGATCTCCAGCACCCACTTTAAAGCTGAGTGTGGCTGCACACATCTGTAGCCCTCATTTTGGGGGCCGAAAACATTGAGACCAGAGATATGAACATTACTGGAGAATACTGACCAGTCAGTGTGACCAAAAATGTAAGCTCCAGGTTCAGTGAGAGATCCTGTCTAATGATGACAAGGCGGATAATAACACAGCAGGACTTCCAGTGTTGTCCTCT